CTAAAACCCTACACCCTAAGCCCTAAACCGTCCCCTATACTAGGCTCTAGCCGGTCTTTGTGCTAGCGGCCGGCTCCCAGGTGCGATGATATCCTTAATCCCCTAAAAGCTTGGCGCTAGCGTAGGGGAAAGATCTCAGAAACTTTAACTAAAGTTGAACTAAAGGGCTGAGTAGGGTATCCTTTTTACCTTTTGGGGGAATCCTACTACAATTCAAAGATTCAAAAGGTTAACCTTTTTTGGGCTAGGGTACTTAATGGGAGTTTCCGAACTCAAGGGGTACCTTATTTGGGGATCCTTCTCATACGGATCCTGCTATGTAGGGTACTATCTTAGGGTCCCCTATTCTCGGACACTCCTAAATCCCAAGATCCTACAAACCAAGAACTCAAATTTCATTCCGAACGCTCATTAAACCCTGGACTCGGCAGCTTTAAATCCCAGAAACCTTGCTAGCCCTCAAACTATATAACCTACATCTTAACGCCTTTTGAAAGGCTATCCTCTAAACCCTAAACCCTAAACCCTAAACCCAAACCCTAATCCCTATCCCCTAAACCCTAAACCCTAAACCCTAAATCCTAAACCCAAACCCTAATCCCTGTCCCCTAAACCCTATAAGCCCTAAACAGGCGGCTTTCGCTTTAGACACGCAGCGACCCTCAAGCTTAAACTTCCAGCCTGCCTGTAGTCTCCATTGTAGTTCCTTTTTTGGGGTTTAGGGGTAAGGGTTTAGGGTTTAGGGTTCAAACCCTTAATGTATAACTGGTTAAACCAAAAAAAAGGAACTACAATGGAGACTATAGGTGAAACCTTAAGTACGTGCTGCGAGCCCCCGAACCCCAGTCGTCCTAAACACGCAAACTGTGCGGTTTAGGGTTTGGGGTTTCAGGTTTAGGGTTCAGGGTTTAGGGGTTTGGGGTTGAGGGTTGGGGGTTTAGGTTTTAGGGTTCAGGGGTTTAGGGGTTTAGGGTTTAGGGGTTGAAGGGTTTAGGGCTTTAGGGGTTTAGGGGTTTAGGGTTTAGGTCTGGAGTTGAATCCAGACTAATGCTGAAAGGGCTTGAAGAAAATGACATTGAATGCGAAATCTTCCTTAAACAAGCAGGTGAAGCCGATACGATTACGTAGAACCACAAACAGATTTTTACAGACCCTGTAAACAGCAACGACCCATTGACAACTCTTAAGACAGACTTCGGGTAGCTCCGGGAGATCTGAGTATCGCCCGTCCTTCTTCAAGCCTTGGTGTTTAATTAGAGGTGCCAGCTTTTGTTGATTCAATGGGTCCTTGCACGGGCCTAGCGGCGCTTACGGTAATTTTTGTCATAAGGTGTTTCGGGGGGTGGGGGGGTGGGGGGTGTTGGTGCTATTCTAATTCTAATTGGCCGCCCCATCAGAGCATCCCCAAGAAAACTCTCCCTAAACCCTAAACCCTAAACCCTAAACCCTAAACCCTAAACCCTAACCATCCTTGAACGGGGCGCAGGTTTGTTTGTAGGTGCTTTAAACTAGCCCTAAACCCTAAACCTCCGTAGATCCACCCTCAGGGTTGCTTTAACACCCTTGGGGTTGCTTTAAGTTCGGCGTTTTCAGGCTCAGAGGTTTCAGGGATTTAGGGATGTCGGGTTCTTAGGGTTTAGAGTTTAGGG